AGCATTTGAGGAGCTTTAATGAAAAGAAATCAGAGTTTGGACTCAATGCAAAACTTACCTCATCATCCCAGTCACAGAGGCCAGCAGCTCCCTTTACCAGCAAGAGGCTCAAGGGACCACAGAGGCAACCATGGTTTCCAAGTTGAGGTCCTGGACCATGGCCAAGAGAAGTTCTTGACTAGATTTTCACAGGTCCCCAGTATTGCTGAATACTTGGCTTCTCCCAAATATCACCCAAACAATCCATCGATAAGACAAATCTGAGTTTAGGTTACAGAAGCATGGGAGAACACTGTCTTGACAGTCGCATAGGAGCAGTGGTGTGCTGGAGCTAGCTTCTATCAGCCTGTGAAGGATCCTGAACATCTCTTCCCAATTCTATGTTCAGTGATGTCACCTCGGTAGCTTGAAGTCAGCCATGGTAGGAGTACGTATACCACAGAAATCATCAAATTCCACAAAATCAGGGATTTCCCCCCCACAGGGAGCCACTTTACCTTAGTAACATCTCGGGGTGTGGAAGCAAAGTTGGGATATTTAAGAGATGTTGAAGTTTGTTTTAAGGCAAGTCTCTTAATGTGAAAGTTGGATTAGGATTAGGTAAGGATCATAATATAAAAGTTTAGGATTGGCAGACACAACAAGGAGAGAATTTAATTAAAGCAAGGATTTCCAAGAGTCTTGAAAATTTTGATACTATCTGTTGAAAAGTCAAACAGTTTGATGTTAATTAAAATGAGTCTTTCAATATGTTCTTGAGACAATAAAATTACTTGAAACTTTTATCTTTCTGAGCAAGAGTTTCCTGGAATAATAAAGTCATGTTGATGAAGACAGTGAAATAGTAAAATCATATTAATGTATACAGTAAGCTATGTGGGTGTGGATGGTTTCAGTTCTCACATATAATGCTTGAGCCTTCAAATTATATAAGAATTAAGGATAGGTTTCTATGGAATTATCACATCAAAAAAAAAACTCATAGGAAATGTTCACTTGAAGGTACTATTCATTTTCAACTTTAACAAAAAGCAAAAAATTTTTTTTTCTGACTTCACATTCTACTGGTATCTAATGTCTTTTCTTTTCCAAATATATAAATAGTTTTTAATGATATTTCACTTTTATCAAATGATAATTTAAATATGTTGCAATTGTATATTTCGGGAAATAAATACATCATGTCTAAGAAATTTCTTTTCAGTGTCCTTAAAGACACAATCAATGAGCAACTTTACACGTCCAAGCATTTGTCTCTAGAAGACAACAATATAAGTGGACAACTTAGAGTATTTAACATATCTGAAGTAGACATCATACATGCCTATTTGTTATCATTTCAACTAAGTACAATTTGCATTATTTCTTTCTTTTCTTTAGTAGAATAAAAGGTCAGAAGTCTACAAGGGTTCAGAAATGAATGTTAAAGAAGAAAGAAAAAAATTTTTTTAATTTTTCTAGACAAAAGAGAATGTTTAAATCATAGAACTGGAAAGCCTCATTAACCTTACCAATTCAATCTCTTCCTTACCCTATTGTGAATATTTCTAATGAGGAATAAGGACAGTATTTCTCTTTGTGGCTTATTTTATTACTCTTAAAATTCTCTATATTGAGCTAAAATCTATTCCCTTCCTATGTCCCTTCATTCTTCCTTCTGAAAATATATAAAGTAAATCTACTCCCTATTCAGTTTAACATATTGGAGACACCGCCGCAATTATTGGATTTTGATTGTTTTTAGTTTTTTTGGTTTTTTTCCCCTGAGATAGGCTGCCTGAGTTTATTCAACCATTCCTCTATTTCAGAGATATTTGGCGTGTGGACCAGTACTGATCCATGACTGTTTCTTACCCTCTGGGAACTATAATCATAGGTCCACAACAAGATAAGGAAATGTGGCAGAATATAAGTCAACATACTGCTTTCTTCATTGAAAAAGTCTTGCTATGAGAAAATAAAGCTAGCTGAATTCAACAGCTTGTTTAGTGATACAGTTGCTTTACATTGTGGCACAAGCTTTTTCATCTTATCGAAGACTGACGGTAAACAGTTGAACTAGTTAATTTGATAGCACTGGCTCCATATGACATGATTTCTAGATCCATTCTAATCGTTCTTCTCTAGATCAGCCTCTAGAATACATTCAACATTTCCAGAGAGAATCTGCTGAAAATATAGTGGAAAACATTACATCCCTGTATCTGGACACTATTTGTCTTAGCATAGCCTAATAGTTTTTAATGAGTTTTTAATCAAGTATAGCAACTGATCAGAATTATACATGTAACCCCTTTCTAATTCTTATTGCTGTTTATCGTCCATTATTCCAAAGTGGCTACCTATTAGCTATTCTATCCAATTTTGTGTCATTTGCTAATATGGGCTATGCAGCTTTAGCTGTGTAAAAAACAAAAAAAAAAACCCAAACTCAGTCACTTTAAACAACCACCTTTTAAAAAAAATTTCTCATAAGTCTGGTTCGGCTGGTCAATTATGGTGACCTTGGCTCATTTCTTCTGACCTTGACTTGGCTTGTTCAAGCCTCTGCCTTCAGCTGGTGGTTGGCTAGTTGACTGAGTGAAAATGGCCTCCACTGAAACAACTCAGCTCTCTTCACAGGATTTGAACCTGCCAGTTGGCTAGCTTGTACTTGTTCTCAAGGCTGACAGGGTTCCAAAAAAGACAGGAAGCACACAAGACCTCTGTAAGGATCAGTCCCATCTCTGCCATAAAGTAGAGCAGGCAAAGGTGGAAAATGGACCTGGAGGAAGACAAAGATAAAGCAAACATTATAATGCCAGTGGGTTCTTCGAAGTTCTTCATACAAAATTTGAAAATGGCACTGAAAAATAGTTTTCATGGAAGACGTCAATAGACCTTTTTAACGGATGCATTGATAAACCATTTCAGAATATGTTATTTAAACAGTCATGACTGTACCAATGAGAGCTTTTATACAGCCCACATTTTTCCGTCACGTTAATAAGGGTTCAGTGAAAAATTCTGTCAAATGTGATGCTGCAGTTCAGAAATCATCATAGTTTTCTGAACATAAATGATCATCACTGCATTATTTATAATAGCAAAATATTGGAAAGAGGGTGCAGGAATGAATGACTTATGGTAATTCATATAATAAATTATTTCATGTAGTTTTAAAATTTCAAATAATTGATAAAATAGGAAACAGTTCACAATTTAATGTTAATGCAAAGTGGTAAGATATACAATGAAGCATGGTGCAAAAAAATTACAGGCTTTTATATCTAATGTAGAAGTAATTTGAAATCCTAGAAAGAAATAAAATAAAAATATACTTCTTGTCTTTGGATGGCAAGATTATAATGATTTTTGTTTTACTCTTAAACTTTTAAATATTTTTCAGATTTTCTGCAATGGACATATGTAACATCATCATCAGAAAAAATGCATTCAGGGTTTTTCCATTTTGTAATTTTCCTGGGAATTAAAATCAAGCTCACATTCCCCTCTTTTCTGAAAATTGTGCACTTGACCATTCCCAGTTGATATTTTCTGAGATATTGTATTGAACAATTCTAATTAGGAGGGAGATCTGGATCTTTCTCAAAAGCATAGTAGCTGGATTTTAGTAACTATTTCATCAACATTTTGATTTTAAAAATATTTCCTGCAGTCATAATCAATTATGGTTTCTTTTTCTATTGAATGCCAAGAAGAAACAGGATTTTATGACTATCTTTAGAGCAATACTCAATATCGATGCTAGAACTGGTAAAAAGGAAGAAGTTCTGTGGGATAGGATAGGAAAGCAAGAGAAAAAATACATCTCAAACATTGATGCCATCTTGGTTGTGTCATTATGTGGCTGAGGAACCTATCAGCTAGCTACAACTATTTTGGCACTGTTTCTTTATAGCCTTTCAATTCTTACTAGTAGTAAAAATCATATGCCACAAGGTGACATTTAAACCATCTGGAATGCTTAAATGAATATTCAGGTGCTAGAAGAAAGCGTCTGCCAACACAACAACAGGTAACCCTTTTCCAGCAAGGGATGTAGCAAGTGAAAGTGAGTAAATCACCCACCAGACAAAATGTCCACCAGAGGCGTTCTGGTGGAGTAAAGATGGACACTCAAATTCTTTGATTCTCCTCCCACTGAGAAATGGCATCTCCATCCCTCCTTTTAAATCTAAGTGGATTCTGTCACTGCCTGCCCAAAAGAATATGACAGAAGTGACACTGTGCCAGTTTCCAGGTTCCAGTCTTAAGTGACGGGCGCCTTCTATTTCCTATCACTTGGAACACTCACTCTTGGAAGCCAGCTGCCAGGTTGTGAGAAGCCCAAGCTGCAGGGAGAGGCCACACCCACATGCTCCATTGGACAGCCCCCACTGAGCTCAGCCACCAGGAGCATCAGCTGTAGCCCTGTGAGTGCGCCACCTCGGACAACCAGCTGCATCACAGCTTTAGATGACTTCAGCCGCAGCCACTATCTGACTCCATTTATATGAAAGATCCCCAAGAAGATCCATCCAGCTGAGCTCAGTCAACTCACACAACTGTGGAACATAATAATTAGTTGTTGTTTTAAGACACTAAGTTTGGGAATGGTTTGTTAATTTATAACAAAAAAATTGGAACACTAGCCATTGTTAGCTGGTACTGTTGTGCCTGAAATAAAATTTGAAAAGAGTTATAAGATATAGATGGTGACATAACATCTCTGTAGAGCTATCTTTCAAACTTGAATGGAGAAATAGTGAGTAGAACTAACTGTTTCTTACACCATTCCAAGTCATATACAGACATAACGAATCAAAGAAACCAAGAAAAAAATAAATACAAAGCTCAAGATAGCCTTTCATGTTTGGAGTGGATGAGATAATACTTTGTATTCAGCACTTTACAGTTTACCACAACCCTGAGGAATATGAATTATTACCATTTTCACTTTTTTTCTTTTTATCCTTCCTCCCTCCCTCTCTTCCTTCTCTCCACCTCCGTCTTCCAAGTTGTTTTCACGCCACTCACCCTCAGCAGGAGCCTGTTTCATCTCCATAATCTTCCCATGCTATTTATAGTACGTGAAATACAAAAGGATGCTGCTCAAGTGGGTGTCCATTTGGAGAAATGCTTTGGTAAGGAATTGCTTTGGTAAGCAATCTCTAAGGTGAAAGGGTAAATCCTGGCAGGATTTCACCCAGAGATGCCCCCATGTGCTACCTTTCCATGACAATAAAAACATTAGATGTATAAACTAATGTATAAATTTCGTTATACTCAGGGACAAAGCTTAGGTATTTTCCAGTGTTTTACAGCTCTGTTTTGCTTTCAGGTATCCCAAAGCTGATTACATCTGATATGGTTAAAGAAGGTGCTGCTGTAATTGATGTGGGTATCAACTATGTCCATGACCCAATGACAGGAAAGACAAAATTAGTTGGAGACGTGGACTTTGAAGGTAGTAAACTATATCTCTTTTGATAAGTGAAGAAAAACAAAGATTCTATGCTGCATGTTTTGAGAGTAGAAAGAGAAACTTTCCCTTCGATTGGGGCATTATTATCAACGATTACATTAATCTTTCCTCTGAGGAAAAGAGTTTAATGACAATTACATATTTCCTTCCTTCCTTCTGCCTGACTTCCTTCCTTCACTGCTTTCTTCCTATCTTCCTTCCCCCTTTCTTTCAGCCCTTCCTTCTATCCTTCCTTTCCTCCTTCTTTCCCTCCTTGGGAGAAAAATATAACTGTACCATTATTATTTCGTTTTAAGATGAAATTCCTTATAGTGCATTTTTTAAATGAAACAATTCAGTCGGCCTTTTATAGTGAGCATTATTTTGACTTTTGGGAGTGTGTCTCTATACTTCATCATCTATACTCAGCCATTCACTCTCGGAGCGAGAAGACATCTTAGGGTGTGTTTGCTAACTCTATATTTCAGATCTAGACAGTTACCTGGGTCAAAATTCTTCACTTGTGTTTTAAAGAGGATGAGAAAAAGGAGGTAGGCTAACATTTCCATGGCCAGTGAAGGAGATAAAGCACCCATTGTGTAGTAATAAAAAATTTCCAACCCAATGCCGTATCTCTACAGATGAGGAAACCAACTGCAAGATAGATATATTTTTAGATGCCTGATCCCCCAATCCAATTTTACTTCCAATATCTTTGTCAGATACTTACCTGCATTCAGGTTTTCAGTATAGTCTAGGAATCTTAGATGTCTAATACTACAGGCATATAATAAAGTGGAGATATTTTCATACTAGAAATATTTTATATATTCGATTGATCATTCTGGCCAAAAAATCAGGGCCATGCGAGAACTTCCTTAAGTTATAGGTGTGTCTTTATAGACAAATTGAAAGGAAAAATGGTGCTCTTTCTAAAATAATTCAAATTTTACATTTTCTCTTGGAATCTAGTCATCAGCTGATGGTTTGCCCGAGTCCTAGCATGGTGTGGAATACAAATGAATATGCAGGGACTCAGAAGTGTCCTTCTGAGTAAGGTATTGGCCCCATGTATGTGAGATTCCAGGGTGCATCAGGGACCAGGTCCAGGTAGGCAAGGTGAGCCTGGTGCTAAAAAGAAAAGAAAAAAAAAAGAAAACCTGAGAACAAAATACTCTGGGGACAGAATGGTGAAGAGAGCAAAGTACAGATGGACCTTATTATCTGCTGCCCTCATAGGCTGTCATTCGCAGGGCGCTGCCAGCCTAGCAGGGTGGCTCTCCAAGTGAACATGCGTGTCTGTATGTATGTGTGTGTGTTATGTGTACGTGTTGAACTCTTTAGGAAATGACCTTTTTTCTTTATTTCATTTTTTCATGTTCAATCACTAATGTCAGATATCAATAATATATTTGAATTTCTCAATTTGAAAGAGTAAGGGTACATTTCATTTTAAAATGTATTTTATTTCTGACCTTATTTCTTATTCTTTTGTGCTGTCATTCTGCTTCATGATTACATTTTAGTTACCAGGTTTATTGCAAAATCGCCACACACTTATGATGCACCCAGATGGCACAGACAGCACATAATAACCAGCTCGAGGCAAGAAAAGCAGGGATGTTAACAGCTCACAACCTTGACTGTGCTTGTGGGGCATGCTCACTCAGCAGTTGGCAATGTTTTATAAGACCCTTCTCTTATATGATGTTTCATTGGTCTCAGATCATTTCCATGCATTCTTATGTTTAGCTAAGAATTTTTTTTTGCTTGTAAGGGTATTATGAAAACATTAAAAATGAGCATTTTGGGGTGGGTGCACATGATAAGTCACACATGGATATGCAATCTCTTGGTAGTATCTATTCAATTAAATTTCAGTTATGTGTATCTAAGTATATAATGAAACAAAAAAGGAAATGACCATGAGAGACAAAGATATAAGATGAGCAGGAAAGAGCATTGGGCTGGGAGACTGAAGAGATGCTCTTAGACCTAGTATGGCAACCTGATAATTTTGTAACCTTTCTGGCCATCAGTGTTGTTATCAGTTAAATGATAACAATGTTGGCAACGGCTCCTTCCAGCTCTAACACTTGGTGCATCTTGGACATTCAGCTGAGTGCTACCACATGATTGTGTAAAAACACAGAAACTTTCAGAAAGTCCGGTTTTTCTGACCCTATCATAAACTACACCCATGTGACTGATATTATTACTCTTGTTGCCCTGCTGGTTTATGGAACCAGAGCCCTAAGGAAGACCTGGACTTGGTAAAGAAAGCCTTGTCAGTGAGGCCATGACTCAGCCACCCAGAGGAGCACGCAAGTGATAGGTTTTGACATGCTGCTCTTCAGGTCGTTGATCAGGACTTAACTTGAGGTGTGGGATGATCCTGCAGCTGAGAGGGAGGAGCTTTCACGTAGGTTCTGATGCAAAACTTACAGGTAGTGTTTGGCTGTAAATTGCCACAGGGAGTGTGGCTGCTTTGTGAGTATCAGTGAAAGTTTCACTATAACCATAGCCAAGATAGATAAAACAGATACAGGTAAAATCCAGTGCTGAAGTAACTTGTCCTTGCAGAAATCTTTAGCTCACTAATAAAGGAAACAACATGGCCTATTTCAAGTAGATTACTTTGATGGGAATGATTTTTAAAGAAAGATTTCATCCATGACCTCATTTGGGCACTGTTGGAAATATGTAAATAACTGCAAATTATTTTACAAATTCAATGATTTATAAAACCAGGAGTCATTTAATCTATTTTATTTCTAAGAAAATATAGATGCCTATTTGTATTCTTCTTCACTATTAGATATTTTAGCTTCAATTTTAAATCAGTCTTCTCTCTAGGAAGAGTGATATTTTATATCAAATACAACATGAAGATTGCATCACCCTTACTATAGTTCTTGACAAAAGGAAATAAAAAAACACCCTAAATATTTCCTTTTGACTTTAAGGACAGGTTTTTTGTTTTGGTTGAGATATAATTTCCTCTAGACCACCTCTTCCTTCATCTGCTAGGGTTTCCTGCTCTTATTTCCTGCTCTCATAGCTAGTGTTTCTGTAGCGCTTACAGTGTGCTAGGTATTGTTCTCAGGCTTTTACATATGATAACCCTATAACCCTATGATAACCCTATCATTTTACATATGATAACCCTATAATTGTTTAATTTTGATTCAGTTATTATGACAACCCTATAAGGTAGGTATTGTTATGCCAACTACAAATTGGCACTTGCCATCTGCCTCTACAAGGATTAAATCAAGAGCTGCTGCAGTTGCTGACCTTCAACACCCCCTGAGAGGAGTTCAGGGTGGAGATCAGGAATGAGGCACTCTGTACTCTGGGAAAAACTGGTAGAACAGGTCTTCAGATAGAGATTTGCAGGAGAAGATTTTATGAGCCCAATTCTTGCATCTCCTCGTATCTAGAGAAGCACTAAAACCCTTCATGGTGATGCCTGCTCGTGACTAGCAGTAACTTTCACGAGACTAGCAGCAACCTTCTGCAAAAAATATGTGCTTGATTGCATGTACTCCCCCTTCACCAGAATCACTGACCTTCCCCCGCTACCTCTTTAAATCAGTTTCTCAGAGCTTTCCGAAATTCTGTCTCCAGGGCTATAGTCCTCATTTTGCCCCAAACAAAACTTAACTCGCAACTCTCACGTTGTTTATTTTTTTTTCAGTTGACAGTTATTATGCTGCATTTTGCAGAGGCACACAAAGCCTGGGCATCTTGCCTGAGAGGACATAGCACAGGGGGCACTGTGGGTTTGTAGCCACTCATCATTTTTACCCTCTATCTTCTCGACTATCCTATATTTCACTTGGTTAATACTTTCCTTTCAGGACGTTGAATTATTTCTTTTATCTCCCGCCCACCTTATGTATAATAGCAGGTTTTAAAGTGCCTAAACAACAGTATTGGTGTACAACAGTCCTCACTTTGTATGGTTCTGATATACACAAATTTCAATTACCACGGATTGGCTAAATAACACCAGTCCCCCAATAGAGTGATTTGAATTTCAGTTAGTAATTGCATCAAGTGCAAACTTCTCTGCTAGCTCTTTGGGGCACAAATCATTATGTCAGTAACAAATGTGCATCATGATCTGTGACCAATCATACCACTTCTTTCAAAGTCTGTGGGCGATTGGTCATGGCACATCTGTTATTCAGCTCAGACAGCAAAGTGTGTAGTTCTGTTGACTCTTTGTTTCTCAGTGATAAACCACGTAACATTTTGCAAAAATAGATCATGCAAAGAGAGAATTGCCAGCAAAGAAATGAAAAGTGATAATTCTGAAAGTGAAATTTGAAATAGCTGACCATGGGATGTTGACAGTGCCACTGTTTGCCATTTGAGACTCTAGATATACAGCCAGACGAACTTTTCGACATAAATGAGGAAAGTGGTTGTTACTGAAAGGATGAGTGTCCCAGAGGAAGTGACACTGGCATAAAACTCTACATTAAAGGAACTCTCAGAGATATTTCATGACATAAGAAAGGGCAAAGACAAAATGTTGGAAGTGGATCCAAACTTAGAAAGGAATCTGACGATTCATCAAGTCATAAAAGAGGTACTAGCCCTGTGTTATAAGGTATACGACCAGGGGAAGAAAAGCAGTATTCAAACTACTCTTCATAAGATTTTTACAAATAAAGAAAACACTTGGATTCTCAATGTTTCTAATGTTTAAATTATGGTATAATAAATAAATACTAGTTTTACTATAATTTTCAATTCTCTACATATTTATAAACCACAGTAAGAGAGCTTTTAGTGTTTTGACAAAATAATTTTAGAGGTCGTTGAGCGAATGTAATATCCCCCCATTGATTATTAAGATTACTTTGCACTGTTTCAGCTTGCACAGTCATTTTTATGATCTTACATTACTGTAAAAAGTGAGCCCTCCCTGCATTTATCTCCATGTTCAATAAAATTCATGAAATTAGTGGTCATATAGTTCAAATTCATAT